TAACCTACACGCATAATTATTGATCACAGAAATCGCCAGGAAAAATATTTGCAGAAATTAGAATGCCAACTTACACTAATGGTTGCATTAAAGGCCCCAATTAGTTCCTCAACAGGAGACAGAATATTGTCTTTCTGTTGGCTAACGTTCTCAAGCTGAATACGCGTGGCATTCATCTGCGGTTTGAGCTTGTTCACTTGCACGACTGTGTCATTTAGAGCGGCGATTCCCCTCGAAAAGTTACTTGTGTAATTCGTGGCAGTAAAATTGTTCAGTTTGGCAATAAGTGTTTCAATTTCTGTAGTGTTTAGCAGCGTCGAATTTGTCGAGTTGATGAGTGCCTTAAAGGAGAAGGGGTAACTTATTACCGTCAGTGAACCGGCAAATACTGTTTAGTCACAATCAATCACTCTACGTAGATTCTCGAAGGAAGGATTTGGGAATGCAGGTAATTGATACAGCCAATCACATGCGCTGCCCCCAAAAATAGCTCATTTCCGCAAACTGCTTTAGCTTAATCATCGTAATTTCCAAATCTTTCTAGCTGCAGATATTGAACAAACTGATGGTAAAAGTGAATGTGCGTTCTTAAATGAGGACAGTATGCAACGTTGAACTTACAGTCAGATTAAGGCTGTCTATCGCCTCCTTGAGACCACTTTTTGCTGCTTCCAAGTCACTTGGATTTGGCAGTTTTGACGAGACATTAAGTTTCTTTACTTCACCAACAACAACTCTGAAAAGAGAATGCAAAAAAATCAGCCCAAAACGGTCTGGTGTAGGACACAACGTTCCCAGCCAAGGTCCATCGCGTCACGAAAATTCTTAGCAATCAGGCTAGCACTCAGTTACCGTTACATCTAGAGTTGATAGGCAGCCGCAAATGTTGGAAATTTTTTTTAAATTTAACGCTTAGGAATTGTTCGAGCATTTCCGATTAGCGTTCAACAGCAGGAACAATATTTTCGATTCCCCATGACATCATTTGTCTCCAATGAATGTCTTGATTCTAGCAAGACAATGCATAATCCACGGTTTCATCATCAAAAAATTTCAAATTGTGCATGCACAATGGATGCAACGCTAAGCGATAGAAAGTCCGCAGTTTTACAAGTAACTTGTATCGCCAAGAAATGACAATGGGAACACACTTCTTTCCTTCTTCAATTCCCTTCTGCACTGGTGGGCTTTGAACCAACTTCGAGACATTCACCAGATTGGTGTACCCCACAGCAGACAGAAGGCCACGTCGGGACGACTGCTTTGTGCTGCCACGGCAGCTCTGGGTGAGGGCGTAGAGCACGTGCCTGGGAGGTGGGGTGTTGAGGAAGTCGTTGGATCCTCCAACCGACCCACGGACAATGGACGACCATCGCCGAGCCAACAATCCGTCCACCACGAAGTCAGTCTTGTTCACACCTGTTTCTCGTGTGACGTAGATGCAGGCTTCGCCTTTGATAGAAGACAATTCAAAATGGATAATAATTCATCTTCTCATGGGCATAATTGTCTTCCATTGTCCACGGTGTGAAAATACGTCTGATTTGT